TCTATCTATCTATCTATCTATCTATCTATCTATCTATCTATCTATCTATCTATCTATCTATCTATCTATCTATCTATCTATCTATCTATCTATCTATCTATCTATCTATCTATCTATCTATCTATCTATCTATCTATCTATCTATCTATCTATCTATCTATCTATCTATCTATCTATCTATCTATCTATCTATATATCTGAAAATCAATATTTCTGCAAGTCTAAGTTCAATAGAATTCTCGTTTGGCAAGTGCAGATTAAGAAGTTCAAATTTGAACCTGGTATGCTTTGGCAAATTCATCAAAAATCAGATATGGAGTGTAAGAATTACAAGTTTGACACTATCAAGGAAGTCACCATTGATGGCTTTAAAAACCATTGGCATGAGCTTGATATAGTGGAGTTCTTTTTCGGGCACGCAAAATGGTTAAAAAAGTTGGAGTTGATCATGCCTAAAAAATTTAAGAAAAGATCTCTCGATTATGCTAGGTTGTATTCCGTAAGAAGCAGATATCCATGGGTTAACCTGAAAGTTTAAATTCAAGATATGACCAAGCATGGAAAACTATAATGTTCTTTTGTTGTATTTACTATTTAATGTTCTTCTCTCATATACGAACTATCTATATTATCTATGTTATTAAAACTGAATATCAGTATAAAAAAAAGATTTTAACCCTAAATTTTTTTTATATTAATTATATTTTATTTTGGCCCAAATCACATTTATATTTCCAGTCTGATCATAATTATAATTTTATTTTTATTGAGATGATGATTATGCATTTTTTTATAAAAATGATTAAAAAAAATATTTCATACTGTTCAAAAACATTTTTTCTTTATTTCTCTACAAATATAAAATTCACTTGCGTAATATAGCTTTTATCTATATAAAATTGTTAAAATTTATTGCAGTTTACTATTTAATAAACATAAACATTTCAATATGATAAATAGATTATGCAAACATATAATACATCTGCCACTTATATACACTTACTTAAATGATCACATTTACGTCATAAAACATGATTTGTAAATATAATAATATGTAATTCATATATGTTGAATCATATAAAATAGAGAACACTTAAAATGAAAATAAATATAAATTTATAAAATGAATAAAAATTGATACCTGTGATACAATTACATTACAAAATGGTGACACATCTAAAATATATAAAGATTACATGAAAATTGTAAATCAATATATATAAAAACTAACACCTACACGGACGCACATGTTAAGTTCTAGTTATTTTTAATTTTGGTAAACTTTATTTGGGATCATTGATATCAAAGTGCTTTTGGTCTAGTATGCTCAGACTGTGAATGACAAATGTAATACATTGTTATGGAATTTATAGCTCTAATACCATTTTGTTGGGGAATTCAAATACTTATATTCCTCTCTCTCTGGATCTACTCATACGATTCAATATATTCTTGTTCATGACTCAAGATTTTTTTATCTAGTTCACGGTTGCACCTCTATATCTGGGGTCTAAGATCAACAAGATCCATTATGAAATATTGGGAAACAACTCCGATGTGGTTTACAAGATCATCACTCTCTCTGTCCCAAGTAAACAAACCCTAGAAAGTATAAAGAGAAATAGAATAGAATTACATAGCTAAGAGCCAAGCCTATAATACATATCTATCTCTAGCTTACTCCATCTCTCTAAGAGAAGCCATAGAAGCTCTTGCCTCCTAGAGGTTCATGTCGCGACCTCTCATTCTTTGTATGTGAGCAATTAACCTAATCGACTTCGATGATTAGGCCCATAGATTATCTGCACGTAACTTGTGCAAGTCAGCCCAACATTGAACAAGTCTGATGGACTTGACCAAACCTCACAAAACTCCACATGTTTGGTCTAAGTTTATAACCATTCCTTTGTGCCGACACATCCTAATGCTTGAGCAAGCCTGCTCATCTTTTGCATCTCCTTGTCTTTTGTTATCTTGGCTCCCTTCTCTCAGCTCCACCGTGAGCCAAGCTTGAAGCCCCTTTATAATCTTCTTTAAACCTGCATAAGCTTATACTTATACACCACAACCGCATAAACAGATTAAACACATAAATCCACTTAGCCCCATCAATGAAAATAGACATCACGCCTAATGAAAAGTATGTGACAACTGAATTTCCACCACCTTCACCTATTGTATTGAGTTACGAACCCAACTGAAACACTCCAAGTTAACCGAAGGGAAGACTCATTGCCATGACTGAAAAAGAAGAAAATGTATTTTTGGGTAGAAGAGCCAGGTAGAAGAGCCAGTTGGATGCACACATCCAACTCACCTGATGGCGAGTTGGACCAGCTACGACCAACTCGCTTGAGTTGAATCTGTCTCATCCGCCATCAGGCGACTTGGATAAATCTCATACTATAAACTCTTCCCTCACTCTCCGGAACTCTCTATTTCGAGTCTCGATCAAACTGCCTATTGTTTCATCTCGATCAGAGTTGCGTTGAAACTTTACGTTAAAATTAACAAAGACTTATTTTCTCGTATGCATTCGAATCAGTTGTATAAAACGATAACAGTTAACTTGATCCCATAGTTATCTCGATGATATGATTGGTTTCTACTATTTCGTAAAACCGACATCGTACAGAAGATGATTTCTTGGAAAGAAATCGTAAAAATGTTTCAGTCGAAAAAACTACCTGAAAAGGCCTAAAACCCAGAAAAGACCCACTTGTGATTTTGGATGAGAATGAGCCCAAAACTACAATGATGGTTTGTCAAATATACGCGAAAGAAGAGAATGTGAGTTTTGAAGGATAATCATGAAGATATAAAAAAATAAATATTTTCGCGAGAGGATAAACTCGACCGGGGCTGAAACTGAAAGAGGCAAGCCGACCTAGGAGGAGTATATAAGGGATGCCGAGGCGAGAGATGCAAAGTACACATAATTTCTCAGCAAACTTAGCACTTAGAGAGATTTTAGTAACTTTCCGTTTTTGTTATCGAGCTGCGACTGAATTAGGTTTTCAAGTCTTAGGTTGCTAGAACTAGGATACTCGCCGATAGCTCTTGTGACCAAGGATTTACTTATTGTAAAAGCTCTTTTGCAGATTCGAAATATATCTATTGCTCTGTTCTTCATCTTGATTTATTTACTCTGTCGACTGCTCACTCGTTCTCCTCCTGTGTGCGTGAAGATCTGGGCTAGGGTTTGGCTCCTGGAAGTTCTCCACTCAAGAGGAGAGATAGCTTCGGTGGTAAATCTGATATCTATGGTTTCTTGGTGAGGAGGTGGAACGGTGTGAGAGGTTACAGTCGGCTTTTTGGGTCCAGGATTGAGATCGTTTTTCCTTAGATCTCGTTGGGTTCTCTCTATGCGTGCGAAGGAGGGATTGGCATGCTTCTTCCATTGTGTTAGGTGGTGTCTCTGCCATCGTCCTTTGGTTTCCAAACTGTTTGGAGGGTGGCTCTCGGTTCTTGAAAGTGTTATCAAACACTGGTTTCATAATCTCCTTAGCGAAAGCGTGCTCCGGCGGGTTCCTTTACCACATAGTAAGTGTTGAGTCTTAATATGCAGGCATTGATGGTGCTTTTTCTCAGGCTCGTGATGGTCTTGTAAGTGGTTTCAAGAGGCGGTCATCTATGTCTCCTTGGTGGCCTCTTGCGGTGTCTAAACACTTCCATTCTCCTCTACATTTCTCCTTGGTTTGTTCTGCTCTGAAGGCGACAATCCTCAATTAGGAGTGTTGTCTTTGTTTCTATTCTCCGCTCATGTCTATAAACATTTGAGGCGGTTCATTGGAGCACCTATTTTAGTCTGTCGGTTTTTTGGCTTCTGGTGTAGAGGTGGTTCTCAGCAGTTGTTGATCGTTTGAACTTTTGTAGTGGTGTGTGATATACCATGGATTTTACCACTTTTAGATCATGGTATATTTGCTTTTTAGATACTATTATATGTGTTTGGAGTGTGTTTTAGAGTGTTTTCAGGTTCATGTACATTTTGGAGAATTTTGGTGATTTTGAAAACTTTTTGCGATGTAGAGCTGCACAGACGCGTAAGAGGTTTAGCTATGGATGAAGATCTCCCACAGTGAGATTGAGCTCATCGTTTGAGACAAGATAGATCCTTGACTTAGATTTCCACCGGGTTGAGGTTAAGATGATGGTTAAATCTAAGGTTATGCTTGTTTTACTGAAGAGTGCTACGTCTGCCTCGCAAGAGGAAATTGCCGAGATTGAGAAGGAGTGTCGATCGACAACATAGCTTTGGTGTCCATCGACAGCGATGCCAGAATTCAGGATCGACTTATTTCAAGACCGACTAAGGCCCATAAATCACCACAAGTTACCAGAATACCCTTGGTTAACTTTTATCCATATTTATGTGTTATCAAGCCATTTTTAGGCTAAGCTGTCTATTCTATTGTTTTAGGTTTCTTAGGTTAGGAGAGAAGGGATGAACTCCTTCAGAGTCATTGTGGAACTCGTTTGGTTCTTTTTTTTATTTCTATTATATTTCATATCTATTCATGTAAGATTTCTTTGACAAATATCATGTTTGAGTAAATTCATGTGCTAGATTTAGGTTTTCCATGGTTTTGATGTTCTTCTGATTACGGATCTGCTAGGGTGATTATTAGATCCTTCATTAGAATTGCTATTAATGCTTGTGTTCTAAAGTAGTTAACTAGAACTCTAAACTTAGGATTGTAGACAACTACGGGTATATGTTATCACCTGAATAGATTCTATTGAGCTAGGATTGCTAGAAACAAGTGACAACTGATTTAGTAAGACTAGTAAATCAATCGATTAGTTTGATAACGCTTGCATAAGGAAGTTTCGATCGACACTCTGTCAATAACATCAATCGACACTTGATCTGTGTTAACATGCGACAGCTGAAACGCTGGACTTAGTCAATAGATAAGATTCACAGCGAGAGTTGGTTGTCTTTTGCATTATAATTTGAGTTCTAGGATCAACCCTTAACATCTATGGATTGAGTTCTGCTAATCTGGATGAAACTCAATTCCTTCCATCAGACAAACTCATGTATTTAATTCTTATTTATTTAATACTATATTGATCGCTTTCTATTATTTAACCTAGCTTGATCTGAAACTCAAGTATATTGTGTAAGATATCGAGTCTCTGTGGATACAACCTTTAAGTACTGCAATTGATCTCTAATTTGAGAGAGTTGCTCTTGGGGTACCTATAGCACATCAGTGTGCATTTTGTGCAGGTTTGAGGCTTGGTGTCAGGGAGTTGCAGAGATTACAACCCTTTTCTTGCATGGTTTGGGCGACATTGGCGGGTGTAAGCAGGTTCTGTGTTTCTCTTCTGGTAAGGGATTTTTGGAGTTCTTGCTTCATGTTTCATCGCGCTTCATAATTGTATTAAATTTATAAGTTTAGATAAGATCATTGGAAGCCGGTACTCCGGTGGTAACACAGGAAAATTCCGACATTCGAAAAAACAAGGCAAATCCCTCTTTCTCGTGGTTCTTGTTGATAGCAGTGGCTTTCAATTTCTAAGGATTAA